TTATTTGTATTGTTGTTGTTGTTAAAATTTTTGTTTCTTTCTCCGCTTTTACTGATAACGGCGATAGTGATGGTGAAAAGTGGTGATTGCTGTTGCTTTTTTAAAATCTCTTCGTGTCATCTCCTCCGCTCCTACTTTCGTGCACCATTATTTTTTTGATGATTTTTCTTTTTGCTCTGCTTTCTTTTCCGCTGTTTGCTCGTTTTGTCGAGGGACCGTAGAATCATCGTTTTGTCTTTTTTTCTCTTTTTCTTTTTCTTTTCTTTTTCTTTTTACCTCTTCGTTTGTCTCGGCAAGATGATCCGTGATCAATGAACTTTTTTCGACTTCAGCTTCTTCTCAAGTAGTGTTTTTTAATCTTTAATTTTAGTTTCAGTTTCTCAGTTTTCGATTGTCAAATGGAGTCTGATCTGATACCTAATTCAAAACAGATACTCGCTCATTCATACTTCCATTCAAAGCACTTTCCCTCCGAAAAAAATTCAATTTCGATCGCGTCTGAATTTGCGAAACGTCTGACTTTTTGTCCAACTCCTACTACTTGTCTCTAAAACTTGTCTCGCCGAATATTGTCGCGGTCACACCTTTACCGAAAACAAACGAATCGCGTTCGCGCCGGAAAATACCGTTTTAGAAGAAAAGCCAGTTGTGTCACGTTCTCCTACGTATATCCTTCGGAAAATTGTCGGGGAAAAAATTATGTTCGCCAAACGTTTGGTCCCTGTCTTAATTTGGAGGCTAGTCGGTGCCGGTGGTGCGAGTGTGTGAAGAATTGTGTTGAGGCTTACTTATCTATCCTATCGTAGCTGTACAATCCATCGCAATGCTATGTGTGTGTATGTATGTATGTGAGCGTGTACGTGTAACCGTGTGGGTGTATCAGTGTCGAGAAAAAAAAATTTCCCGATCAGCGACGCCCATTTTGGAGAACGTTCTTGCCCAATCCCCCATTCCCTTGATGACGATTGTTGTTCGCCGGACGATGTTGCTTCGGCGAACGGGGTTGTACAAGGGCGATCACCAACGACCAGGCGTACACCGATGACGAACAGAAGCATTGGTTCGATAAAAACGATTATCGTTGGTTGCGTGAACGAGGTGTATGCACTCGTCCAGCTTTAGGTATTTACATAGAAACTAACCCTATTTCGCATTATGTACTTGATTTAAGTTTACCAGTAAATTCTCAGTTTATGCTTGTGATATCAAGGTGTATTTACATACTACTTAATCCGAGGAAAAAACGCCCTGTAACGCAAAAACTGTTATAATAAGAATCGATCAATGATCGACCCGCGTGCACGCCACCAGGAACTCGAGGTGACCTTCGTTTCTCTCTTTTTCTCTGCATTTTTCCATGTTATCCAAAGATACTACTCGTCTTTTTTTAGTTTCTTTTTTTATTCCATTTGCGCCTGTATCTCGCGTCTCGAATCGAATACGAGGAGAAAACAATTGGTTTTTAGAATGAAATTGAAAGCTTAGAATTGAAAATTTTTTTTCCTCTCGAACTTTCGGTGCAACTTTTGGCGGCGAGTCCGTCGAGTTCCGGTCGCGAGGCGAGTGCAATCGTTAAATGTAGCTTTGACGATGAATCTTTTAGCAATCTTTTCTTCTCTCGTCCCAGATGGTGAAAAAGCCTGGCTATCCGGCGGCTTCTCGGCGCGTGTCTTTTACGTTCAACGAAGATGACGACGTTAGGCTACTTTCATAATTGGCGAACAAAGGGGTTGAAAAGAGGGATCCCCTGAAGAGAAACGGAGAAGTTAGGGATACAATCCGGAGTTGAAAGAATTTCCTTTTCGCGATCGTCCGAAAATGCTTTTGGACTTTCTTTTCTCTCTCTTTTGTTTCCTTTTTCTTTTTCTTTAAATTTTCTAAATCGTCGAAATCGTTCAGTTTCGAAATCAAAATCGCTTGTAATTTGAAAGAAGAAAGATGTTCTCTTTTTTTTTTTTCATCTTTATCTCGGGACAGAATTAGGAAAACCGTCGGAGGGATTGAAGCGATCATGGAGACAATGGAAATTGAATAAAAGTATAGAAAGGTGGAGGAACGGGGGAAATCCGTACGAACGGGTCACGGAACGAAAGTCTCGTCGAGAATCTCCGAACAGGGGAACAACAACAACAACAACAATTGCGGTCGACGTACGATGTCACGGGGAAGAAAAAATTCGGCACGCTACCATTCATTTCCGCACTCTTCAGTCCGCGATTGCCAGTCGAAGAAACGAAGAAATCGAACGTGTCGTAGGTGAATCGTCGATCAAACGATGTATATATATATATATATATATATTTATTTTGTTTTCTTTTTGAATGATATTTTTGCGTTGAAAAATTTTTTTTTGGACCGCCTCTCACTCTCTTCATCTGACTTTACGTTATTTTCTCTGTTTTCTTTTTCCGTCGTTAAAAAAATTTCGCGTTGAGTTTCGAATAACCGTCCGTATCGGTCTTTTTCTTTTTTTTTTTTCTTTCGTTTTTTCTCGTTCTAAACAAAGATTCGAATTCGAAGAGAGAAACGCGTTTCTTTTCGGATGCGCGTGTGGTTTTTACGTTTGGTCTAACGTTTCGTTTCATCTCTGGTCTGGTCTCGTCGAAAGAAACCCCATCGCAAAAGTACGGACAGTCCAGGAGTTTCATAAAAGGTCGGAAAAAGGGAGAATCGGGGCATCGAGATTGATGGGGCATCACAAAGGGGTATTTAGGAGTAAGGGGCTGGCCCGAGTCTCTAAAAGTTCGCTCCACGGTCAAACCTACGGACTTTCTATATATTCTTCTTCTTCTCCTCTCCCTCGTCATCCTCATCTTCGTATCTTATATTTTTTTCTTTTCGTTTCTTTTTTTTAAATTGATCCACCTCTGTTCTGCTTCTCCTTCTTCTTCTTTCTAAGTATTGCGAGAACGTAACGGTATATTGCAAGTAAAAGTTCGAAACGACGCAAGTATTTTTACGCGTTTAGATATATACCCGGAAATAAAAAAATATTTCGCTTATAACGATCACAGGACCTCAGATTACCTGAAGCACGCCACTCTAAAATCTCTCATTCGCTCCATTCTCGCATTCGCTCTTCCTTGATGCTCACGAAGCATTCTCTTTCGCGCGGCTTCTCTTTCATTCAATCGCGTGCCCGTGCACGTACGCGACAATCCCAAGGTCGTTCATTCACGAAATCTTGCACGTGCTCTCTCTCTCTCTCTCACTCTCTCTCTGACACCCTTTTCCTTTCTCTCGATCTTTCTCTCGTGTGCGCATTCTGGCACCTCTTTCGATTCTCGCGCGCGTGTCTCTCTCTCTCTTACACTCTCATTCTCTCGTCGACATGGCTGGTATCGTGTACCACTGCCCGGGCACGCGCTCCGCATTCATTCGATTTTTCTCTTTCGCCTAATTTATCCTAGTCTCATAGACCCTATATTTATTATTTATAATATTTATATATATATAATATATATAATATTTAGCATTTAGTTTTTTTTATTTCTCTCTTTTCTTCATCAATTTTTCATTTTTTCTTGTTCTTCGTCATCTCTCTGGCGTGCTTGTTTCTTCTAAAAAAATGCTTCCGTACACTCTCACGATTTACTCTTTGAAAATGTGCACGTGTACATTGGAAGGAGGGGGGCCCCCCTCGCTATCATCTTCGGGCCCCCGTCCCATCATGTGTATCGTCTTCATTTTTTTCTTTTTTTCGTTTTGTTTCCATCATACACTCCAGACTCTCTGTATGTATATATAATATATATAATATAACTGTTTGTAATAATTATATTTTGTTTGTTCGCTTACGAGCTAATAGTTTTCGTGCTGCCGACCAGCACAAGTTGCGCGCATTCTTTATATCCTTACGTGGAGTAGATTTTTTTTTTTTTTATTCGCGTGTATATTTAAGGTGTGTATTGGTGTGTATTAGTGTGTATTCTGTGTAACAAGGTTTCGTGTGTACATTTGCTTTCTCTCTCTTCTCTCTGTGTACATGTATCACTAATGTAGTCGGCGGTCAACGACGGGAGTGCTTCTCGTCGTGCCACACGATTAC